ATGCTGAACTAACCACCTCACCAGCTTACACGGAAACCCAATCTAGAAAAGCTGAAATCCATAACCAATCTTTACTCAGGTTCTTACAGGCTTTACAGTCCACCCAGAAAGCAGTCCAGAAGCATGTCCAAGATGCTCTGCCTGTTCCAACTTCTGATCCAGTTCATCCCTTCCACCCTGGTGACTCTGTTTAGGTAAAAAAATTTTCCACTCAAGGACTGACTCGTACATGGAAAGGACCACCCCCATAGCAGTCAAGGTCAATGGGATCCTGACATGGCTTCATCACACATGGCTTAAGACAGCCCAGGAAAAATAGAGAGTCCAAGTCTCTTTGGACCCTTTAAGATTACTCCTGGCCCTCCTTCTGGGCCCTTATCTTATAAACAGGCCCACTAACTTTATTCAGCAGAAAATTAATTATATCAAGCACATAGTCCTCAGGGGTCAATATAACCCCATCCCAAACAATGATCCAAAAGAGTCAATGATTTGACTCATGTGCATAAAACCAGTGGGAAATGAAGCATCCATCTTACATAAAAACAGCTGTTTGAAATTTTTACCCTGCTTTTTTGGCTTCTGTAAACATTTGCTTGCTTAAATAATAGGGAACATAAGACTACTCCCATTCCAGAGAGGTCATAAACCTTCCCCAGACAAAGTTATCAGTGCTGGTGCCAGGCCGGGCCTTTGGGTGAGGTCTCAAAGGACCAGCACATAGGGCTCTTTAAAAACTTGCAAAGGGGACTGGAGAAACCCTTATTTTGGAGACAAAGAGCTAGAAAAAGTATAAATAGGGAAGCTTCCTTCATGTTTCTTGGACCAGAATTTGAAAGGCATTTTTTTCTGGCCTTACGCGTAATAATAATAAAGTGTCACTCCATTTTTCGAAATGTTGGTTGGTTTTCTCTGGTCTTCTGTAACAGTGGCACTCAGGGTTACAAATACAACATCACTTTGCAAAGTTCACTTCCCGACATCCCCATGATGGCATTCGGTTTCTTTCTGGTTATTGGGAAATGAATCTGTGATTCTTGGCAGGTTCTAATGCACAGATCAGTAACACAATTAGGACAAACAAACTTCCAGGTCAGAGGCCCTTGCCTCCTGCAAATACAAGTCCAGCCCTGACTGTGACCCAGTGCTGGTGGATCTCTGACAGCCACACAGAGGGAAGCAGGTGACCCAGAGCACAAAGGAGGGCTCAGGAATGTGAATGCCAGGCCATTAGACGGTACCCAAAGTCCCCATCCTCTGGCGTGGGCATGGCTGAGAGTGAGAACAGCAGAGCCTTAAGGCTCCACAGAAAGATGATCCTGCAGGAATGAGGCCCTGAAATTCCAGGTGCAGAGCCAGCTGGAGCCGGGCCTTGAACGTTGCAAGCTTTGGTAGCTGTTTCCCCTCTGCTTGCAGAAGGAAATCACACCTGCTGGGTCTATACACCCTCAAGAGACCATTGACTTACATGTACTTTAAATTCAAGGTTCCCATCTTGAGAGCAAGGTAGACTCGCCATTCTAACTTTCTCGGTCTGACTTTCTATGGACTTGAGAAACAGGTGATCCGTGTTAAGGCCACAATGACTTTGGACAAAATGGCAGGTAACAAAGACTGAAAACAGTTCTGAGAACCTGTGCATTTGCTCCTGAAATGGGCCCCACTGATCTGAATCTGTGTGACCATTGACTCCTCCAGCTTTAGCAGGGAGAAGCCTTGACAGAGCAATTTAGATAGAGCTTGAGGCCCAGGGAACTCACATGCCACTTAGTGCATTAGGCAGGGAGATGCTTGCCAACCTTGCACTTCCCACCAACCTACTGCCTCTCCCCCAGCTTCAACATGGCACAGACACCCAGGCCTGGTTCTCCCTTGGGCACAACCCTGGAGTCAGAGCCCAGGCTCCACAGAGGTCTCTGCACCAGCCTCCTGTCCAGGAATGCGCTGAGCCATGACCTTCGGGTCCTCACTCTTTACAAGAGGCAGCAGAGAAAAACTGCAGCTCAGATAGGCCTTCCATTTCTTGGTCCAAAAGCCAGCCTGGGGACAGATACAGCAAACAGTGGGGCTCAAGAGGTTGCTCAGTCCTCCCCATTCCTGACGTCCAAGGGGAATGTGCTGCTTAAGGCCCACGGTCTGTCCTTGGAGGCCCTGATTTCATTAGGTCCCCTGTGAAAGAGATGTCGTCATCCCATATCCCTGGGTGAAGGGAACTGCCTGCCCTTAGCCCGTGAGGGAATGAGAGAGGCTGTCTGGAGAGTTTCCTTGAATCCAGATATCCCTCTTGTTCCAGGTCCTGAGAAGCCTGGATGAAATGTAGTTTTTATCTTTAGACCCTCATGAGAATCCTGTATCTTTAGATTTATGCCACCTTCATCGGAGCTAACTTGTATAGGTCCCCCTATTGCTGATAAGAATTGGGAAGTGAATTTCAGGGAGGTGGTGGCCTCAATCCTAGATCGAGTCAGAATGGTGACAGGCAGATGCATTTAGAGAGAGGAGCTCTGAACAGAGTGTCAGGTGCGAGTTCAAGGGAAGAACAGGCAGAGCAGAAGGCTGAAAGGGGAATGGAAGAATTTGAGCTTGTCCTGTAGATTTTTACTGTTTCCCTGACTAGGGGGCAACCATTACATACTGGGAACCAATCCATGTGAAGTACCTGACTGTCTTCTACAATTTTATATCTAAAGATTCTGTCCTTTATGCACAGTATAAACACGAACACATTCCCCTCAAGGTAGAACACGACCCCACCGCCCCTTACAGAAAATAGAAATAATTATATAATGGTTACCTCTTCGTTTTCTCCTTGTTTTCTTGGCTGTGAGAAAATCTGGGCCTTAACTTTCATCCTTGGTTGCAAAAATCTTCTTTGCTGAGTCATTGTATGTAAATCTTTCTTCTTAAAAGTTTCTGGACTTTCCTTTTTCTATTTGCCTTAATGATTGGTTTGATGGGTACCTCTGAACTTGAAGTAGTCTCCCATTCCTCTGGTAAGCAGAATGGACTTTAATGAAAATAGAGAATTGTTCTGCTCAACATCACGAAATTACTCTTGGCATTTCCCCCAGGTGCAGTGCTTGAAGGAGAGTCTCCTGGGATTGAAAACACAGTGATGTGACAGTCTACGTGTGCTAGAGGCCTGGTCCTGCCCTGTCACCCCTACTTAACCAGCCTTCAGCATTTCCCGGGCCACCTCTCACCCCTGCCCTACAGTCCTGCAGGAGGAGGCACCTGGGAGAGGCCTCTCCCTACATTCATTTGTCAGATCCAATCCATGCATCCCTGTGGGAACTTTTTGGGATATACCCATTCAACAAATACTCATCCAGCACATCCTAAGTTTATGGTGCTCTCTCTGGTAGTTCAGACACAAAGAAAAATAGAATAGAAAACTAATTTTAATATAAACATTTTATTAAGTGGCCTTTGGCACATTCCTGAACTATTTTGCAATCTTATTTGGTAAATGGCCTCTAATTGGAGCTGCAATTCACTCTATCCTCAGTTTGCTGCATGGATTCTGCAGCTTCTCAGCTCCACCGACCCTGAGATTGCTACAAACATGCATGGTCCTGAGCAGGATTGTGTGCCCACAGCATCAGAATCCTGCTCAGAGGGGGTTTGGTCTGCCTACTGGTTGACTCTGCATTTGACCCACAGGGTATGAAGCTCACCATTGGGGAGTTTTTCCTCTTGTGTCTACTAATAGTGGACCCATTGAACTATAATGGGATGAAGATGTCTCTGTAGGGAGGGAACAGTGAACAGGGACAGACTGAGACTGACGTGCCCTGTGAAGAGGGAGGTCAGGAGTCTGCCTGACCTTTTGCCCCCTCAGTGATGCTGGCAGGGGCCATATCAAATCAGTCCTAAAAGTATGCTGGGAGGAAAGGCTGTCTTTTGGCCTCATGATTGCCCTGGTGGCTATTAGGAGGCCACAGCCACTTGGGGATTCCTGGGACTAATCATGGTACCGTGTTGTTGTGGAAGTAAAAGGGGTTCCATGGACTGTAACCTCACAGGGTGATCTGATCACAGATTTCTAACTGGGCAAGTCACAGTGAGTAGTTACACTCCAGGCATCTAGTGTTTTTAGTGAAAGGGTTAACACACCTTTGAACTGCCTCTTTTCAGACCCCTCAAGAGAAACCAACCTCAAGAGAGCACGGAATCTCTTCACCTATCCTGCAATCCATTTCCTGCCTGGCTTTCCTCCACCTTCAGTTTTCTCCCTTAGTTCCCTCTTCACTTCCAAGTCCACAAAGGAAGCTACAAACTGTCATTCTGAGAGGCATTTTCTCAGGCAGTGGTCTGGCTTCCAGGTGTAACTTCTGTTTAGTTCAAATAAAGTTTTATAAACATTCTCTACAGGTTTGGACTTCTATTATGGACATTGGATATTTCGAGGTGTTACAGTAGGTGAAGGGTTTTCTGGGGCAGCACATGAGCTACTGAAGACATGCCCATATCACAGATAGGACTGGGCTAGCCATGGGGAGAGATCGAGACCACTTTTGTTCAAGTGGTGGCAGCACTTCAACAAAAGGAATTGGATTTCTTGGAGGCTGAGACCCGCTGCTGACTGACAATGATGTGGCCCTCCGTGGGTCCCTGTGACAGGCCACAGTGTCCTCACTGAGAAAGGAGAGGGCTAGACTGGGCCCTTTCCATGGTTTGACTGTGATCCAGTGCTATGCTCTTAGGCAAGACAGAGGGTGTCCTCTGCCAAGAACTGGATCAGAAACCCTCATGTCAGCCTCTTTTCACTCCCTAATCCCATAATCAAATCCATCCCTTAATTTTCCTCCCATCCCCACCAAAGACTGAGTCAACACTGTGCATGAGAAAAACATCATTGAATTTTCTTTTAGGGCAGCAGAGAGCTCAGCAGAGCCGAGTAGGGGCTGAGGAACTACCTCTTCAGGCTGGGAATTCACAGACGGCCACGAAGGAGGAAGAGCAGGAGATATCATTCCAGAGCCCATCCTTTAGAAGGATCACACAGTCCCCACTGAGCCAAAGTCATTAGGCTCATCCTTCTTCCAGTTGCTATAGGTCAGCCTCCCTCCTGTCACATACACAAACTGGCCTTCGGTCGCTTCATCTGTGATGCCCAGGAAGGCATGGTCATTGGCCACTTCCATGATGGCTTTGTTCTCCTCGGTGTTCTTGGTGGTGGCCACGGTGGTCTGGAGCTCAGCCCACAGAGCCTTCACTTTGGAAAAAGGCATCTTTTCACCGTTGGTCACATGGAGCTTCTTTCCAGATCTCTTCCCGAGGAGAAGGTGTGCACTGAAATCACAAAGGACGGGTGGGATTGACTCGGCCTGGAGCCCAGGCCAGTAGGTGACCACGCCCTTGTCGGGGAGTCAGGACTCTGAAAAGAAGCCCATGTGCAAGCCCCTCAGGTCATGTCCTAGTGAGGGGGAGCTCCTCAGGGTAGGGAAGGCCCTGGCAGAGAGCCCCGCCTCTCCTGGGGGAGCCTGTCCTGGAGACAGTCCCCGGGCACAAACTGCCCCAGTGCAGGTAGACAGGGTAACAGTCGTGGGCCCTGCTGCCAGGCTTGGACCCCAGGATAGAAAGGGGCAGGGACAGCCATCTGAAAACAGTGGGTGCTGAGGAAGGAGAAAGGATTTGGAGGTAGCAGACCTCCATGCAAGCTTTTCTTTGCTGCTTCCCACCTGGGTGATGCTGAATGAATTAACTGTAACTCCTGGACCTATTTCCTTTAACTTGTAAATTAAATAAGCATAATGCTCACAAACAGCAGTGATGAGGGGACAGAATGAAACCATGTTATGAGAAAATGCCAACCTAGCACAGGCCCTGGTATATAATCCGTGTTCACAATTGTTAGTTCTCTTCCACCTCCTGAAAGCCCAGAGCACTCAAGGACAAGGGGAGAGCGGGAACCCAGTGGGGCAGGCAGAGGCTTACATTTTTGATGCGGTCCAGTTCCGCCTCCAGGCTCCTCAGCTTTCTCTCTAAGTTAGCCAGCTTAGTCTCCGTAACTGCACAGCAACGGGAGAAGGGCATATATTGAGAAAGAGACCCTAAATTCAAGAATAGAGTGTATTTTAGGGGAAAAAAAGTATGCTTTTTCTAGAAAAATAAGAAAACAAAAGAGAGAAAACAAAACATAACTGTATTCCTTCTCAGACATAATTCATAACTTTTATAAACTGTAACTCTGAAACTAGTAATAACACTTGCAATAACGATAACTTTCATCCTTTTCTTCACATACTGCTTAAATACTGCAATATTACACTCATTTATAAGAAAAGAGCAAACTCATTCTCTTTTTTGAGAAAAAAATTTTTTATTAAATCTTTATTGTTCAGATTATTACAGTTGTTCCTCTTTTTCCCCCCATTCCTCCCCTCCACCCGGTTCCCACCCCACGCTCTGCCCTTACCCCCCACCACTGTCCTCATCCATAAGTGTACAATTTTTGTCCAGTCTCTTCCTGCACCACCACACCCCTTTCCCCCCGAGAATTGTCAGTCTACTACCTTTCTATGCTCCTGATTCTATTATATTCACCAGTTTATTCTGTTCATCAGATTATTTATTCACTTGATTTTTAGATTCACTTGTTGATAGATATGTACTTGTTGTTCATAATTTTTATCTTTACCTTTTTCTTCTTCTCCCTCTTCTTAAAGAATACCTTTCAGCGTTTCATATAATACTGGTTTGGTGTTGATGAACTCCTTTAGCTTTTTCTTATCTGTGAAGCTTTTTATCTGACCTTCAATTCTGAATGATAGCTTTGCTAGGTAAAGAAATCTTGGTTGTAAGTTCTTGCTATTCATCACTTTGAATATTTCTTGCCACTCCCTTCTGGCCTGCATAGTTTCTGTTGAGAAATCAGCTGACAATCTTATGGGTACTCCCTTGTAGGTAACTAACTGCTTTTCTCTTGCTGCTTTTAAGATTCTCTCTTTGTCTTTTGCTCTTGGCATTTTAATTATGATGTGTCTTGGTGTGGTCCTCTTTGGATTCCTTTTGTTTGGGGTTCTCTGTGCTTCCTGGACTTGTAAGTCTATTTCTTTCACCAGGTAGGGGAAGTTTTCTGTCATTATTTCTCCAAATAGGTTTTCAATATCTTGCTCTCTCTCTTCTTCTGGCACCCCTATAATCCGGATGTTGGTAAGCTTGAAGTTGTCCCAGAGGCTCCTTACACTATCTTCATATTTTTGGATTCTTTTTTCTTTTTGCTTTTCCGGTTGGATGTTTTTTACTTCTTCATATTTCAAATCTTTGACTTGATTCTTGGGATCCTCTAGTCTGCTGTTGGATCTCTGTATAATATTCTTCATTTCAGTCAGTGTATGCTTAATTTCTAGTTGGTCATTTTTCATATCCTCCAGGGCCTCACTAGATTTCTTGAGGGTCTCACAAAATTTATCAGCGGTTTCTAGAAAATTCTTGAAAAACCTTAAAAGTGTGGTTTTGAACTCTATATCCAGTAGTTTGCTTTCCTCCATTTCTGTCATTTGTGGCCTGTTTCTTTGTCTCAGCATTTTGGCTGCTTCCCTGTATTGAGAGGGTGACTTTCTGTGCTAGGTGTCCTATAGGGCCCAATGGCTCAGCCTCCCCAATTACCTGAGATAGACACTCTCGGTACACTCCTTTGAGGGCTGTGTGCACAGTCTTGTTGTAGTTAAGCCTTGATTGTAGTTGATATCACTGGGAGGAATTCACCTCCAGGCCAATTGGCTGTCAGAATCAGCTGTGTCTGCAGTGGGAGAACTTCTGTGCTGAAGACACCCTTATGGGGCAAGACTTGCTTCAGTGGGGCTTTGGTGCTCATTGCGTCTGCCCCCTGAGTGTGTCCCTTATGGATCTGAGGAGTTGTAATCTGGATGGTCCCACTCTGACCACTGTGTACACTGGCTCTTGGATCTCTAAGGAGGTGCTAATTTAGCCTCTTCCTGAGGCTACCCAGCAGGAGCTATGGAGAGATCTGCAGATTCCTCTTCTTTGTTTGGGGTTTGGAAGTGCCCAGATGAGGCCCAGCTGTGAAGCAATGCAAGCTGCTGTGGGGTCTTGGGCCTTCTTTTGGATGTTCTGGGTCTCTCTGACCCAGCTGCAGTTTGTTAGGTAATTTTCGATTGCAAAGGGCCAGGGCATTCATATGCAAAAGCCTCTGCACACAGCTTGGGTGGGGCAGTGTCTCAGGGAATCAACAGGGTGGAGCAAACAGCTATGGCTGATCCTTAGTCCTGCCCTAAGAGGCCCCGAGTGTCAGTTTCCTGCAGTAACAGCTGCAAGCATTTCTGAGAGAAAGCTGCCCTCGAGTTCTGCCTGATGCCAGACAGTACAGTTTCTCCCTGTATGAGTCTGGGTCCCCAGAGACTTGCCCAGAACTGGAGTTCAGAGCAGTCGGGAGCTTGTGTCTCCCTTCTGATTGAAAAAGACAACCGTGTCCTCAGTTTCCAGCCCTTTCTGCGTGCGCCTCTGTACCTCTGCACTTTACTTCCGCAGTTCCTCTGAGTCTCAGTGTGCTTTTCTTGTTCTTTCTAGTTGTAGAATTTCCACTAAGCCAGCCTTCCTGTGGTTCTGGATGATGTTAATTTTGTCTTTTAGTTGTATTTTTGAAGTGGTTGTGCGAGGCAGCAATTTCAGGTGTTTACCTATGTCACCATCTTAGTTTCTGTTCTTGAAAAATTTTCTTAATCATGCTTTCATTTCTAATTCAAGGCAAGGTCTTTAATCTCTACTATAAAAACCCCTTGGCTGGGACACCGTCACCCATAATACCAAAGACTGGTCACCAGGAGGCTGTGTGCAAGCAAGGCTTGGGTGGGTGGGTGCTGCTGTGTGCCTGGGGAGGCATGTGCAGGTGGGCGGGGATTTGACTCTGGGTCTCCCGGCCTGGTGGGACTTAGGGTGTCCTGTGGCATGGTGGGATCACTAGTATTCTTATAATGGTGATGGGCCAGTGGGCAAATATTTATGTGAGGTCATCACTTTTGTTTTGTTGTTACTAATTACTTTATTTCACTTTGGATGAATTTATTTAGTTACTCTATTCATTACTATATTGCACCAGAGATCTTATGAAGCCCATCATCTTCATGCCACTCTTGTGAAAAAAAAACTTAAACCCAACACCCAAGGGGAGCAGTTTCCTCCCACACATCCAGGAGCCTGGCATTGGTGCTCCAGCTAAGGGAGCAGGTCCATCTGCAGGGGCCACTGAGGGGTGGCCAGCAGGGTTGCAAGTCTGTTCTCAAGCGCCTATGGGAATCCCTTCAGGCCCCAAGAAGGACTGGGAGGAGTGAGAGTGCTGGGTCAGGAAGCAGAGGGAAGGTCTGCCAGTGGGGCAGCGGAGAAGGGCCCCTCCCACCTGGCCCTCCAGTTCCCAGGGCCGGTCCCCTCAGCCCACACCATGCTGAGATGAGCTCCTTACTTGAACTGTCTCCACGATCTCCTTTTTGGGCCTTCACTCCTTGTGGCCCAGGAGCCCCTCTACTTCCTGGAGGCCCCCGTTTCCCTGGAGGGCCCTGCAAGCCTCGGAGCCCTGCCCTGTTGGAAGATGAAGGACATGTGGCTCAGTGTCTGTCTCTCATTCTCTTCCTCCGAAACCTCAGCACTAGATTCTCACTGACTCTAGAAACCACCTGCCTCCAGTTCCAGCTGCCCGGGCTGCAGATACCGTCTCTTACAGACAACCACACACCACCGATTCCCGCGTGGAAAGGTGGGAACCAGGTCACAGCAGCATCTTTGTTTAGGAGAAAATTACAATGTACAGGAATTATCCTGAGAGATTCATCCCCATCATAATGTAAGGGGAGACTGCTCATGGCTCTGTCCCAGATCCCTCTGGGGAGTAAAGATTCAAGAAGTCTGACCAGCCTTGGGTACCTGGTTCTCCTTTTTCTTCCTTGGCTCCGTCTCATCCATCTCTGCCTGGGGTGCCATTGGTGACCGGGATGCCACAGGCAGTCACTGAGCAGGCCTTCTGGGCATCTTCACAGGTTGTGGGTTCTGAGAAGGACACTGTCACCACACACAGAAGGGTGGGAAGTGACACAAACCACAACATGGTCCTCACTTGGTAGTGGAGAGAGTGAGGGAAAGAATTTCATCTCATCCTGTGTAGCCAACATCCGCTACCACCTCTGGTGTGCTGGCCCCTGTGCTCGGGACACAGACACACCAGCTTTGACTCTGAGTTTCTCCCAGGCTGCTAGGGAGACAGACAACTTACACATTAACTACTGTAATGTGTAATACTCAG